ATGATGGGGCCCTAGGTGCCGAGGTGGAACCGATTGCTGGTTTGGCTGTCGTGGAGGGAACTAGTGTTGATATTGCTGGTAGAGGTAATAATGTTGGTACTATTGAAACTGCTAGACCTGCTACATCTGGATCTGAATGGCCCGGACGCACTGAACGAGGTTGTGAAACTGGGACTCCCCACTCCGGGAGGAACCACGGAGGGCTCAAAGAAAGTTACGCCTACCACCGGGGGAAGCGGGGCGCTCACTTGTGCGGTGCTCGGTAGTGCAGTTAATGATGGGACTGTAGACGCTGTGAGCGGAATGGTGAACTGTACAATGAACACCGTAGGAGCTTGGGGAAAGGTTGGCTACTGGGCTTGCCCCCGGTGGTGTTCATCTCGGCGCTTTTCCCAATGTGGCTGGAGGATGCCATTGAAGTTGAAGTTGCAAAGAGGTAGGAATGACCTTTCGATCGTTTTCCCACAGACAGCGCCAATTGATGGTGCGCAATCTGACTACTCCTAGCTGGAGGATGATCCAGACTCCAAGTGGATGGTGAGCTAGATCGGTGGTCTGCAAAACAATCTATCGGAGAACCCGGGGTGACTAACCCGGCGAGGTCACTCCGATGCTTAAGTTAGTATGCTGTAAATGCAAGCTGAGTGCTAGAGAGTAGAGTAATCACGCGTACCTTTGCCATGAGGTTCTTGTATTTATATACTGGAGTAGACATGGGTCTCACGAAAGAGCTCCGGGATCTCCGGGGTGTGGAGATAGGGTTCAATCCGCTTTCGAAGGAGCAGTACATAGATAAGGCTTTATCGTTTCACTTCCGATTCTGGCGGAGCCGGGATGAGTCCTCATCGTGATCTCAAGTAACTTGGGATCCATTGGAGAGACCTCTGGAGTCGGTTACGATGCTTCGGCTTGTTAGCCCCGAGCTGAAACTTCGATTCCTCAGTCCCAAACTGGATTGGATACCCGAGGTGCCTCTACACCGAGGCGGGTCTAAGCCAAGGTGGCTGGACACCCAAACTGCAAATGTTGCAAACTAGGCTTGCCCGGCTGAGCTATCATCCCTTGATTAGATCGTGCCCACGTGTCCCCTTCTTGCTAGGTCGGGCCAAATCACCCTTCATCAAAACCCAAACCTCAATTCATGGCTGATTGCCCCTCCTCTTCTATTGTCTCTTTTTCTCTTCTTCTTCTTCTTCTTCTTCTTTATATAATATCTGCAACCATAGTTTTCCTATAAAATTTCAGGCCAATTAGTAGTCTTAGACAAAGTACCAATACTGCCCAAAATGCATTCAACCTCCTCTTCCCTTCTAAATTCCTCTACATTAAACCAACGGTTGAAGAATGTGATGGGCCATGGCACGTTTCGAGGTTTGGGGACCAAAGAGAGACTAGGTCCAAAGTACATGATACTAATATGCAATTTTCCCTAATTATAATTGTTATTAATAACTTATAAGATGTAACCAAAGAATAAGAATAAACCTAGCTAGGACTCTATCTTAATCCAATTTTTTTTTTTTTTTTTGTAACTTCAAATTTAAAACTTAAACTCTCAACTATTGTAATCTTATCTCAATGTAATCTATCTATATCTATCTATCTATCTAAAGAATTTGAGGCAAAAGGAGCTAGGGGTGTATCTTGGGTTGGGTGGGCCTAACTCGAGCCCAATCCAGTTCAACCCAAGCTTTTGCACAAGTTAGGCTTAGGTTTCGAACTTCAAGCTGGGTTTTGGCCAAAAAACTTAAGGCTAACCTAAACTCAAGTTGGTTTTGGGTTGAGGCCTTGGGTAGCTTAAGATTAAGAATGGAAATGGGGTGGGGCACCCCCTCCCCATCCCCGATCCATAGCCAAAATCCCTTGCCCCATCCCCAATGGCGGGGAGGGGCACCTCCTCCTTATCGGAGGTGGGGAATCCCCGAATTTTCCCTGCCCCGAGACGACACCTAAAAATACATCATATTTGGGGTATTTTGGAAATTATATTATAGGAATTTAGAGATATTTTAAACATTAAATTACGGAAATTTAGGGGTATTTTAAACATTAAATTATTGGATCCTAAAGGTTTTAGGAATTTGGGGAAAATTTATAGACATTTTAGAAATGAATGTTAAACCTAGGCATATTTTAATAATCTACCACCAGGTTCAGGGAATTATATGCAAAACCCGTCCTCGCCCTGTCCCCAATTCGGGGCAAAATTATTTTCCTTGTCCTTGCCCCATCCCCGTTTAAGATAAGAGAAAACCTGCCTAATTTGGGGTAGGACCCCAGTTTTACGGGGAAAGTTGCCATCCCTACTTAAGCTCGTCCTAACCCAATTTGAACCTGTGCCAACATTTTATGATATACATATATACATATTATCAATATGTTCTACATAGAAATTGGGCTATAAAGCTCAATATGCCCAAGCCCAAGTCCAACCCAAGATGTTAGGTTCAGTTCGGGTTGGGCCTAAGTTGGTAAACTTGGGCTTGGGTTAGTAAATTATTAGTCATTACTGTTATTAGTAATTATTGAAAATACCACTAATTTTTCTCTTACCAACCTAGGCCTAACCCAAACTTTAACCCAACATCTTGAGCTAGGCTTGGGATTGGACGTGTTGAGCTTTGTAGCTCAATTTCTAGGTATAATATATTGATAATATGTAGATATATATATTACAAAATGTTGGGCGAGCTCAAATTAGTTGAATTGGGCTCGGGCTAGCCAAGCCTAACTTATACAAAATCTTTGGTTGAGTTGGGTTGGGCTCAGGTTAGGCTTACTCAAGCATGTCACCATGCCTCTCCTTGCTCCAAACCCCCTTCCTAATTTCCTATTTTTTTGAATTTCTTATTTTTTAATTCCACATAATTAATATTTCAATAAGTAAATATCTTAAATAAAAAACATTAAAAATAGATAAATAATTATATAACAAAATATTTAATATTACGTAATAACATTAAAATAAATAAAATTCAAATAATGAAAACTTTTAAATATTTTACATATTATTTAATAAAATATTTAACATTACTAAATTTTAAATAGTTAAAATAATGAAATATGTAATAAATTTAAAAAATTTCTTAAAAGTAGAAAAATAATTATAATAGATTTCATAATATTCATATTAATAATAATTTAATATTTTACAAAATTAATAAAAGATTATGCAATAATAGTACTAAATATAATTTTATGGATTATTAAATTCAATAAATAATTAATATTTAAAAAATTTAGATAACAATATTATTTAAATAACTAAATAATACTGTAAATAACTAATTTCACTTATATCAATTAATAATTATAGAAAATAAATTTCAAAAAATTAATATTTATTAGTAATAATTTTACAATAATAGTGTATATTCGTTATATATATATATATACTAAAATTAATATTTATTGTATTTTTATGAATAATTTATTTTATTTTTGTAATTATCGTATTTTTATTATATATCTATTGTATTTTCATTATAATTTTTTTCAATAATTGTGTATTTTGATATAATTTTTTAATAATTATTGGAGATTAAACTATTGTTATTTATAGATTAGACTATTAGATTAGCTAAAATTAGGAGTGTTCAAGGATCGGTTGCAGGTTGTTTCGAAAACCAAATCGACCTGGTCAAGTTGGGAGTTTGTCACCCGAAACCGACTGACCATTAGTGAAAACCCACCAATTTGTATCGGTTTGGTTTTTTTGTTCAAAAGATTAAAAATTAAAAATTTAATAAATTATAGTCGTAATTTTAAAAAACAAATTAAAAAAAATTAAATTTATGATATAAAATATTTTAGGCTAAGAAATATAAGAATTTTTCCACTTTTTCATATTAAAAAATTATATTTAAAATATAAAATGTTAAGATATATCTATGGTTGAGTCGGTTCAGTTTTGGTCGATTTACAAATGGCCAAACTAAAACTGACCTAACTTGATCGGGTTGGAAAATTGTTGAACAAAAACTGATCAGAAATACTAAAAAACCAATCAACTTGGACCAAGTTCGATCAGATTAGCTATTAAAAAGTTAAAATATAAAATAATTATATACTCTTATGTATGTCTATTGTTTAGGTTAACAAAACCCGTGCATCGCACAGACCCCACTAGTTAGATATATAGACTCAATAGAAATCAAATACGAGTATACGACAAGTCTTTCGATTGAAACATGGCTCGTATCAATAATCCATGTATAAAGAATTAGATATCAAGCATATCGCCTTATTTCCACAGCGATGTGGTTTCTCCGAAATAGAAGACAGGGACCTGGGGCCAATCAAATCAGTCTCCCTTAAGCTCGAAAGTCAACAATTTTATAGAAAAATCGAGGTTCCTAAAAGCCATTCAACTAGAAATGATTTCTTGCGATACCATGGTGAATTCAGAAAATATCAAGACTCCTCAAGCTGTCCTACTGCAGTCATTTCTTTAACCGACTGTGGTTTAGTGTTTTTATGCAACTCTTCAAGCATTTCACCTGCTGGACTCCTTTTTTTGGCAATGGTTAATCAGCTGCAGAGAGTGCTTTAAATGCAGAAAATTCTACACAGAAGACCAACGCAAAGAGAGCTTTAGTAGCCAAGGGCGCACAGAGGAAGAGCCAATAAGCACGGCAAGCCATCATACAGTCAAGTACATATTTTAAAAAATAGTCGAGAATTTTTGTCTTCAAATTTTTTCTATCAATCTTAAGGGTTAAATGCTTTAAAAAGAAATGTTTTAAGTAGTTTAGTGGTATATTTAAAGTAATTAGCCCTTTGGATGTTTCTGTTATTATATAATTTGCACTTAGTCTATCTGCATCTATGAGATAAAAAGATGAAGTGACCATTATTGACATTTGACAAGAAGGCGGAAATGGGCCATGGAGAGCTGGCTCCTTTGTGCCCTTTGTTGCCCATCTCTGCTTTTAATGTAAAAAATCAAATCTCCCATTATCAATAAGAAAAAGGAATGATGTTTGATATAGTCAAAATATTGCACCAACCTGTACCTTAAATTAATCATCAATTAGTAAAATTTTACAGAAATTAATTTTTGATATCCTAGTTAATATTTGATACACATGAAATACAAACATTGCTACATACAAAGGTCCATTCCTCGTAACAATGTTGAGGCAGAGAGTAGAGAAGGAAACCAAAATAATTAGGTTGGTTTAGTTGCAGACATCATGATAAAAGGTCCATTCCTCGTACATGTAAATCCAACAAGCCCGCATGCCTTGCAAAGATCTTCCAGTTCACGTTCAGATAGAAAGATGTGGCTACTTGAGATTTGCCCTATATACTACAAGGAGAAGTAAATTATCTACCGTAAGTCCATAAGCCAAAGGTGAGTATTGGTTTCCATGGATATCACTATCTACCTGGAGAAGATTTGCCTTGTATACTTTTGAGTACAGGGTGGGCCAAAGGCCACCATCCTTGTTTTTCTTTTGGAAGGTAATTAATGGGTCAGGATCAATATTAGGGATGTCAAGCATTCCTAATTGATAGCCATGCTATAGGCTCTGCATCATGTGTCATTCATTTTCCTGACTCTACCCAACAATCATGAACTACCAGCATAATAATGCCATGGGGAGCTAAAAGCTATAATGACAATACCTGGCGCAATATCCTTGACACTGGAAGGGCACCAACAATACCATCAACGATGTAAGTCGTAGCTACAAATACACCTCCAGGTCGTAGAACTCTACTTATTTCTGCTACCTACAAAGCAAGGGAAATTTCATGCATCAATTTCCAAGAGGCGTTTCCATTGCTTTTATAATATTTATTAAAATCCTAAAACTTGACTGGGACATAAAAAATTAATTTCAACCATTCATCTAATGTAAATTAAATTATGGAAATGACTGGGAACAAAACTGCACGCCCAGATTCAGAAAAAGGTTTCGGTCAAAGCATCTGAATCATTAGAACTAAGGGATCACACAAAAAGAATGTATAATATATAACCTTTTATTTTTAGAAATATCAATTGGATATTTCTTTTATGATGCATCACTATTTCAGCCTACATTTACTAGCAAAAAGTAACCTTTCCTTACTATATGCAAAGTCCATACAATAAGATTCTTCACAATGTAAACCGATTAGATTTCTTAGCAGCAAACAAATTACAAAATCATTATTAATAGAAATCTGATTATTCAATAGTAACAGTACAAAAACAAAAATTTTATCTGATAAAGGCATGTGGTACCGTCTACTGATCAGTGTTTGTCAAGTTGATGATAATGTACTAAGCAAGCGGAAGCTTCTAGGTGCCCTAGGTGACACTGTAGATATAAAAAAACACTTACAGCTGCAGATGGTGAGGGCCAACAGTGCAATGCAGCACCGGCATGCACAGCATCAATTGAGCTTGAAACAAAAGGAAGTCTGGAGATATCGGCTCTGACCAATATTAAATTCCTGGAGGAAAACATTATAAGTTATCACACCAAATAGAACTTAAGAGGCACAATTTGAACAAAATAAAAAGAATTCCTATTCTAAAATTTACATTGGAAATCTTTCTTGAAAACAAATGTGACCAAGGACATCTAAATGCTTGTACACCACTATTCTCAAATAAGATCAGCTTAAAAGCTAAATATATTACTCTTTTGGGAAGCTTTTCTCCTGATTAATAAAATCATAGCACTGCTTCAGCATGTTCTCTGAGAAGTCCAGAGCAACAACAGAGGAAAATAAGCCACTTTTGGCAAACAGTCTTGAGAATAACCCACTCCCACAACTGGCATCAACAATTTTTCCACCTAACACGGGCTTCAGATAATCTTTAGCCATTTCAAACTGCAGTACCAAATTATAGTCAACAGATTACGTGCAAAAACAGTGGAAAAGCAATGGCTAGTTTTGTGTAAAAACACCGGCTTCCAAGAGAAATAACAGATGAATTGAGGCATTATATTTCATAAAAATAGAATAAATAAGCAGTTAAAGTTCATCAATATGCTTTTCAGAAATGGTTTCATAGTGAATCCGCCTTAGAAATGTTTCAACTTATTCTGAACATTCAAATATTCTGGATATTCATGATAGTTAACATTTTACCTTTCATTACAGGGGGATGCATATGAAGTAGAACATCGAAAGCATCAGAGATATACCCCCAAAATATCGTTGACATTGCACCAATATTAATACATCTGACTGGAACCCTTTCCTAAGATAGAATCCATGTTAGGTTTATTTATTTATTTATTGTTGTAATTTGTGGTTCCATTGCTTCCATAGAAAGAGTAGGCAACCTAACTATGATCCATTTTAATAAATACAACTAACACTTAAGTGCAATTATGTATTCTTTACAAGAGAACTATAATGCATAAACCTTTACATTTATATTAACAAAGGCAGATACATGCCTATAATAATTAGCAAAGTTATTGACACTTTTATGTACATATTTGAGTTGAGAATATTATGATATATATAAAACCATATACATCTACATAAAAATATGTATATCAGATATATGTGAATGAGCCCGTGACAGCATTTGATAGGGGACCTCTGGATTAGTCATGTCTATAGTAATGCAACACTGTATCAGCTACGGGATGAAATGGAGAATGCCAGATATGATAATATGCATGTCTACTGCATACCAGTATTTAGCATGTCTGGATCATCTCAGAGGAACCACATACTAAGGTGATATGAGATGGATACGATAATGTAGATCTGAATATGATTTGAGACAGATATGGGTGACAACCAGACACTGGTCCAAATATATAGATCCACCTCATTAAGCACAACTTAGATACAGATCTGAAACCCATGAGAGGTCTTTCTATTTGGAGCTAGACCCAGTTCAGAATAAAGCCACTCCAGATATGACCCATTTCATGCACCACTACATCCTACCATGTTTTTCATATTTCCTTGGAATAATGACCATCAGTATTTTTTTTTTCCAAATGAAAATGGTGGAATAAAAGGTTCTACATTTTCCATGCGCTGTAAGAGCTACTGGACTGGGCTGGGCTACTACCATCTAAATGAAATTTACCACATGTGAACTTATTGGGCTGTGTAGAAAACCATCCAACTAAATAAGGTGGACGTCAGTATGTGGTTCCTTTAAAAAAATAACTGGGCCCCAAAAACTGGCTTTGAAAAACAATGTCTTTTTAACTTGCAAACATGAAAAAACTTTTTGCAACTTTATTGTTTTAAAATGAAAACCAGAAAAAGGTGTTTACCAACTATGGTTTTTCAAAACTCAAAACTTGAATGGATTATGATTCTGTATTTTTCATGGCATGTATATAAAAATTATGTATAACAGTAGATACCAAATAAACAGCTCCTTCTTGGAGGTGGCTCCGGACACCTGGGAGGAGGTTTCTGGTGTCAATGGCATCACAGAAACAAAGCCAATAAGCATTTATATTCCAAAAGATGAATGTTTGGATTTCTTTTCAGTTTTTGCAAGAAGAAAATAAAAGCACTAGTATTCGGTCTAAGAATATGCTGAATAACAAGCCATGTTGACCTCATAAAGCCCAACTCAGTTTTTCAAAACTATTCCAGTTTCTCAAAACCAGAGAAGTCTTTCCATTTACAAAACCTGAAGTGAGCATTTGTGGGTGCAAACCTGGTTTTGTTTTGAGAACCAAAAAGGAAAAAAAAATGGCACTTGCAACAAAAATGGATAATATTATCTCATATCCTTTTAGTCAAAGAATACTTCAGAAAAAAAATCATATTACCTCTTTGTCCGGGCCTGGAAAACCACCAAAGAAAGAAAAGCTTTGACGCCATCCCCTCTCATAAAGAAATGATACCAGTGGAGTCCTGTTCTAGTGAATAATATGTAGGTGTTATAAGGAAGATATAAGTTTAAAAGATATGCTTTCTGCTTTTCATTTGAAGAAAATCTTCATCTCATATTTGAAATCAAGGCCCAGATCAGCAGTTAGAGCTACCAAATTGAATGGTATAGACATCTATGACAATATATATCAATCAACATTCAGTTTTGATAATTTTGAAATTCAAGAAGTTTACCTTTTTTGGTTAATTAGTTCCTGTATTGTAGATTACATAATCACAAATTGGAAGTGAAGCAACAATTTATCCAGAGCATGAATTTAAGTGTAAACTCTATATTATACCAAAACCATTAGTTAATGACTAAACCACACACCAAAATTATGTGGTTAATTTATGATATCAACTTATGAAGTGATCCTCAAACCTGAAAAGTTCTGTTGAAGGAGGTGTAGATTCACCATACTCCTTGGCACCACTAGCTGCTGTCAAGTCAAGATATTGTTTGTTATTGAAATAAGTTTTTGTGCAAGTTCGGCATTGGAACCTAGACCCAGGTGTGAATTTCCTGTTGAGAAATCATCCAATACAAACACAAAACAATATAAGAAAATTATCAGTATGCTACTCAGTTGATGAAAAGGGAAACAATAAAAAGTTCTACTGCCATTAAAAAGATAGATGATGCAAGAATATGTCAACACATTTGCATTCACCATAAGAACTTACACTGGTAAACCTGGATCCCCATTCCATGTCAATGGATCATAACAAATGGGACAAGCAAATATGTCCTTGCTGGTGCTGGATTCCATTCTATCTACAATAACATCCTAAAGGAAGCAGTAGCATGTGAAGAAGTAACGAATAATAAGTATAGAATGACAGAAGGACAATATAGATAACTTCATGAAAGGAAACAATGTATGAATTCTGGAAAAACATTGGTGGGAAATTACATCAACTTTGGCAGTAAATTACACATGAATGTGTATAACCAATTTTGAGAAAAACCCCAAAAAATAGTCCAGGAAAAGCAACCATCCTTGACAAATCCAATTTAACCAATCAAACCATCTTCATGTGAATTTCTATGAACTTCTCTTATTATCTATAGAGCAACAAATTAGTAGTTCTTTCATAAAGCCAGGTTGCAACCGGGATTCAAAAGCAATCCAGCATAAGCATTAGAAGGTAACAGAGGCAGCTATGAGCTATATGATATGTGGAACAATTCTCCGAATAGGTTTCTATCATGTCAGACACTTGTTGACATAATGTTTTAAAAATTGTAATTGTATCGTCAATCGTAGAGAAAGTTAAACTGAATTGAATCGTGAATTGTATTGTAAATTGTAAGATTGTTTCTATTTTTTACAAACTTGTCAAACATTTAAATATAGATATGCTAAAAGGCTAAACATACAAGGAAAGTGATTTACCCTATTTTTATCCATATCTACAATATATGTACCTAAAACAATAGAATTTACCACTTGTACAATAAATCCTAAGATGATACAATCAAGCTTGACTTAAAAGTCAAATAATCCACATACAATGGCTCTTTAACCTATATATGATGGAAAATAAACTCAATGTCTTGTTTTAAATACTGTAAATAAATCATTTTCCAATATAGGCTCTAAAACAAATCTCCCTTGACAAAACAAAATATAAACAAAAAACTGACAAAGTAGAGAATTAATTCTTAATTGAATTTATTTGAATTGTATTGAATTGCAAGAATCATATAAGTTGTAAGATTTATGGATCAAATCAAAGGATTCAAAAAAAAAATTGTAAGATCAAATTGCAACCCTTGGGATTCATGATTCAAATTATGAATCATATTGTAAATTGTAAGATTTTGACAACATTGGTTAACACAACACCCTTCACAAGACATTGGATTCACAGCTGATTACATGTGGATGTGTTTACATTTATTTGTCTATAATGCACATAAAGATGTACCAATATGCAATTTATATGCCAACCCACTAATATTTATTTTTTTTATCCTTCAATATGGTAAAACAAAAAATTACTCAAGCATTTAGAAATATATGTATGCATACTTCCCTATAAATATTTGCATGCCTACTTAGCCTATGTGTATATATGTATATGAATAGCCATGTCCATATTTCTAGATTTTTGGGGGTTTCCTGTCAGAAAACTCATATCTGTGTATTTTTTTGGCAGAGGAAGGGTTAAGGATCAAAAAAAAGTACAACTATAAGGAATTTGGCCCATTCCCTTTTTATAAAAAAATGGACCCAATTGGAATGCAACTCCACAGCATTTTAGCCCTTTTACTACCTCTAATCTTTGGCCATGTGAGGAAAATCTGAGAAGTAGAACCAGGCTGATAATATCTCACTCCAAACAAAGCTAAGAACAGCTTCCAAATAAAACCAGCCACTTTACAAAGAATGAAAAGGTGGCCCAATATTCCTCTTGTTCTTTGCATGAGTAACAAATACTAGATAAGCTGAGCCTTGGCTCTTAAGGTGATCAGCAGTTAGCACACTGTCCATCACAATAAGCCAAGCCAGAGGTTCCACCTTCGGGGGCACAGGATTGACCCAAATGCCTCCTAACTGATCAAACTCCAATTGACTCCAATGTAGGGATTAATAAAAATATTTGACAAAGAATTTAATGGTGGAATACTCCTTCCACCACAGCTCATCTCTCAAATGATCTGACACCGTAACTCTTTATAGCTTTTCCAGAAAATCAATACATTCCTCCATCTCTCCTTCAGAGGTCTCCTAAACTTTGGACACCAGACCAACTAATCCCATGCCTTTCATTACACTGACTGATGGTGATTCCATGATCAGATAAAGCCTTGGGGCACACCACATTCAGATTACCCACCCCACTACACACAGCTTCCCAAAACCTTATCATCTTTCCATCTCCCAACAAGAACCTGGTATGGTTTTTAAACTTTTGATTAAAATTCACAATACCTTTCCATACACACACCCCATAAGATGACCTAACCTCCCTCAATTCCCGACCAAACCTCACAACCCCATACTTCCCCACCATCACTCTCCTCCAGAATGAATGTCTCTCCTTCTCCAACCCAAACCTCCACAACTAGTTCCCAAGGAGCGCCTTATTAAAATATCTTATTCTCCTAATCCCCAAACACCCTCCCTCCTTCAATCTGTACACCTTATCCTATTGAGAATGGCTAGACAGGGGTGTTTTTGGTTTTTTTCTCCTTTCTTATACTCTCTCAGTATTTGGGCACCCATATAGGGGCCTTCTTGTAATTATAATTTTCTCAGATTATAATGTATTCTTTTGAGGGTGTGAACAGTGAAACACACACACACACCTCTCGATAGCTCTCTTCTTCCCTTCTTCTCTTCTCTTCTCTTCTTCCTCTCTCTTGAAACCCTAGTTTCTGCAACTTGGTATCAGAGCGGGTAGAGCATTTGGGAGTTGTTCTCTGCTGATCTACCCAGAGGCGAACTGCTGATGTCAGACCGCCGCCGGATGACATCAGTAGTCTGTACAGGTGCTGGCGGCAGTCTATGAAACCAGCACAATTTGATTTGCCCTGATTTTAGAAAAATTTTGGTATGACTCTTGTCATCATATGAAGCTTCTATGATTTTTGGTGGATTTTTTAAGGAAAAAATCGCAAAAATTCTAGATCTAATGTTGAGCCATGTACAACAAGTTTAATGATATTTTTCTGCTGTAAAACCTAGACCATTCAGGTCGTTTTTCAATTTAGCATTGACGGGAAGTGGTCTTGTATTTTCTGAGCACTGTGTGATTTTTGGGAGATTTTTTTCTCCTTCTATTTTGCTGCCAACCTAGTTTTTTCGGGCTTCCTTTGGTTCTTAACCGTGTGGTAACCTAGTTTTTGGGTCTAGAACCTTGGTTAAAGTGTTGGGGGTCCTTTTTGGTTGGTGAAAAGGTGTCTTGTTAGAATATGGAATCATCTAAGGATTTTCAGATGGTTCCCGGCGTGCTCCCGGGAATTGCAGATATTTCCAGTGGTATGATAACTACTGTTAAACTGGATGGAACTAATTTTTTAGAGTGGTTTCAGTTTGCTAAACTTACCATTACTGGGAGGGGTAAACTGGGATTCATCACAGGAAGGGAAGTGAAGCCGAGTCCTGAAGACYCGAAATTTGCAAGGTGGGAACAGGACAACTCCCTTGTTATGTCATGGTTGATTTGCTCAATGCAACCACATATTGCTCGAAATTACATGTTTCTTCCATCTGCCAAGGATATCTAGGATAGGGTGGTTGCTACTTATTCCCAAGTTAACAGTACTGCTAGAGTGTATCAGCTTCGGAGGGAAGCTTGCAGTATGCGTCAAGGGGAGAGATTTGTTGCTATGTATTTCTCTTCTCTACAGTCTATCTAGGAAGAAATGGATCACTTGAAATCTCTAGTTTGGAAGGACCCTGAAGATGGTGAATAGTATCGGAAGTACATAGAGGAGAATAGAGTCTTTGATTTTTTGGCAGGCTTAAACCCAGAGTTTGATTTCACCAGGCAACACATTCTTAGTGCAGGCGTTGTCTCTCTTGCTACTACTTACTCTCTTGCACAAGGGGAAGAAAGTCGAAGAACCGCCATGATGCAATCCTYTGTGAKTGATCATTCTGCCTTTATRTCATCACGACCCAAGCAAAATACTAGCAAACATCCCATTGTAGAGAAGGTCGATGATGTTATTTGTGAGTACTGCAAGAAGCCAAGACACACTAAAGAAAGGTGCTGGAAGCTCAATCCTCATCTAAAGCCGGAGAAGTACAAAATCGGGAAGAAGGGCGATGCTCACATGGCTACAGTTGGTAATGATGCTCAGCCCTCGAATGTGCTTAACTCCTCTGATTGGTGTAACATGCCTGCATCTTCCATGAATGAGTTCAGGGATCTTTCAAAGTACTCAGCTGCATTGTCCGACCGAAATTGCTTAATCTTCTTCTCAAATTGTGTTTCAATCATCTTGCAAAAAATCATGGTTACCCGTGGAACTTCATCACGTCCTTTTAATAGATAAATACAAGTGCACCGAGAATAATGGTCAATAAAACTGATAAAGTAACGGAAGCCATCAATGGAAACAATGGGTGAAGGTCCCCAAACATCAGAATGGACCAAATCAAAAGGAACTCGAATTTCATTACTAGAAATTGGATACATTGTTTGACATTGTTTTGACATTTGACATACATCACAAATTAAACTTTGACTTGGAATTCCCTTACATAATTCTGGAAACAACATTGCTAAAGACGGGAAAGACACATGACCTAGCCTAGCATGCCATAGGTGCAACTTAGCTATTGATTCCAAACTTTCCAGACTAGTAGTAGCAGAAGCTTGTAAGGCTGAGTTGATGTTTGCATCAAAATAGTAGAGGCCCCCATACTCATGACCACTCCCAATCATTCTCCTCGTCAATTTGTCCTGGAAAACACAATGAGAAGGAAAAAAAGTTATACTGCTGTTCAAATTTTTTGTAAGCTTTGAAACAGACAACAAATTTGAGGTAAGACTAGGAACATGTAGGACTTATTTGAGTGAGAGATCCTTGCTAAGGTCAACCACCCCCTTTCCAGAGATGGTGGAGAGACCCATCAGCCACTCTCATCTTATCCTGGCCAGACAACAAATGATATGAAGAAAATAAGGAGGACATATGTGTCATATGATCAATGGCTCTGGAATCAATCACCCAAGAAGTAGAATTAATGGAACTAGTCGCACTAAATGCAGAGGCTGTACCTGATTTGGCAAGAGAGGTGGAAGCTAAAGGATTGTTCTTCAGACGGGC